GGACAAAACCCAAGAGAAGATCAATGGGATCATGTTGTAGAAGGGACTGAGAATTCCAGCCAGAATCTATCACAGGCTGAAGTAACTCGATTCAATATCTCTTCCGAGAACGGTCTGGCAGGGTGGCTCCAGAGGCCAGAATGTAGATGAGAATAGTGGAGGGGCACAAATGAGCAAGTCAAATTTATCTGCACTCCGGGACAAATCTGGGCCGGTAAGTAAAATGATTTTCAAAGACTTCTGGGACTAACCAAAGGGTTTTCTTCTTATTTGGGGGATCTTTTGTCTGGCCCATTCCCTGGAGTGATTAAAACAAAACCTTTAAGCATTGAGTAGCAGAGTGTTTGTTTTTGGACTAGAAGAAAGCAAAGCCAAAGGAGAAACTCGCTAACCTCTGGTTAACTACTCATCTTCCAGAAAGGAGGTTAGATTCTATCGCTTCCTGCAGAAGTCTACCGTGAGCACCTGAGCTTGGTCAGGTGCTTCTCCTCTGTGCATCCATAACTCTAATTGCCTGTTTGTCTCCCCCATTGAACTGACAGCACCACATGGGTAGGAAATAGTACAGTGGCTGGAACAGAAGCGCTCAACAAATGGTAGCTATTACTATCCCATTCATATTTTCTTGAATTCTCTTCTGAGTGCCCACACCCCCTCACATATTTAATTTTTACACACTTGTAATTTAAACACATCAAAGGGCATGGACTAAAATTGAACCAAGGGGGCCTGATTTGATGACTGCCATGGTGTCTCATGGTATGAAGACTTCTCCAGGTGTAATGAGGACTCGTTCAGCTGCCCATGGCCTCTCACACAGTGTAAGGAGAGCTCAGAACTGGTAGCTTCTCACCCAAAGCCCCGGGATGGTGTGTAGAGCAGTAAAGTCTGGCCAACCACGCAGAAGAGGCATCAGACACTTCCCTGTTTCCCCTCCTCTAGGACAGGTTTAGGTGCCAGGATTCTTCAGTCTTCCCCAACTCAATGACGGGTTTCTCCAGGGTAGTTCTCCTCGTTCTTCCCTATGCTTTTCTTGAGAGGGAAGGAATCTGGAAATCTGTTTAGAGACCACTGAAACCAAGTTTCTGAATAAATCACATAATAAATATAACAACCACCACCACAGCCATTTATTAAGTGCTTGCCAGGCACTGTGCTAAAGCTTTACAAACATTTGTTTCGGTTAATCCAACAACCCTGAGGTAGATATTTTCAACATCCCCCCCCATGTCATGATAGTTGAGGAAACTGAGGCTCAGAGAGGTTAAGTAAATCAACCAAGGTCAAACTCAGCTGGTAAGTAGCAAAGCTAGAAATCTGAACCAAAGATATTTGACTCCAAAATCCATGCTTTTAAACATTATGCTAGATTGTTTCCCATTTTAGGTTAAAGGATACATGCGCTAGATTGTTTCCCATTTTAAGTTAAAGGATACATGCTCCTTCCCAAAATATTACACAAACCAGATTTGGGGGTGGGGGGAAGTTTTTTTTAACTTCCTTAATCAGCTATGGTATTTGAACTCTTGGAGTAAAGAGACAGTCTGGGTATAAACTGACCACTGAGTCCCTTTCTCCTGTTCCCATAGCTGCCAGGGCCTTTCTCGTGTAAGATCTCCACTCCTGACATCTGACCACTGAACCTGCTGTTTCCCTTTCAGCAACCACTAGAATGCAGAGGTCAGCCAAACTTGGTGACAGGGAGCCAAAGACACCTGAGAGAAATTAGGAGACATTCACAAAATGCCCATCATTCCTGAACTGCTGGACCCTAAGGCACACAGATGCACTGAGATGGAAATACAAATTGCAGTACTTCCACTCTGGTTTACCAGGCCCAGCTTCATTCTTGCAGAGTCTGCAGACCAACCCCTATAACCCCTCCCTGTAACTGGTTCTCTACCACTCTCTAGATATCCTCCCCCCAACCCATCTCTGGAGGCCTCACTAACCATAAGCCCCTGGGCCTCAAGGCTGCCAGTTTTTGAGGCTTTGCCCCCCATAAATGCCCCAAAGGTGCTCAGCAGGGCTCAATTCAGGATCCCATGACTTTAGGAGGATTAAACAGAACTGGCTGAAGACAAGCATAGGAAGGGCCACCAGGGTGAGACAAGCTGAACCAGGATGTACAGAACTGACAAAGGAATGGCAAGAGAACACAGCAGACACAGAACAAATGGACTAACCATCGACAACATAACAGAGCTTTCAAAAGTCAGAAATGACAGATGTCCCTAAGATGAACAGGGATGACCCCAGAAAGAGGGATCCTAAAGACAAGTCTATCCAAACATGTAGCCATGGAGCTTTGGTGCAAAAGGCAATTGTTTAGGAAAAAGGGCTTTGGTGACAGGGCCATGGGAGAGCCTGGGCAGGGGGAAGCTGAGTAAGAGAAATTGGAGGGGGCACTGGAAATGGAAGCTGGAACATCCCTTCAGTGCAGGCAGTTTGAAAGGATACCAAAGAAGTATGCAGGGACTGGAAGACAAGCAGTTAGAGATCCCAAAGAGGAGTAGGACACGGGCTGAAATGCCAGGGCCTCTGAAGTCCCTGAGCTACTTTCAGGCATACCCCATTATCTATCCCATCTGGGTAAACCTGGTGGTCACTGAGGGTCATTCCCTGCAGCCCTTACTAAGTATTTACTGCACCAGATTTTGAAGGGTGGAGACCCAGAGGTAGGGAACTTACTGAGAGGAGAGACACAGCCCCATTCTTGAGAAGTTCACATTCTGAAAGGAGACAGAGAACCATTAACCCCCCATCCCCTCATCCTTGAGGGAGCCTCTGACCTAAGGAACCCACTGCAGTTGAGTCATAAAACTGAGGAATAAATACCTATTGGTGTAAATATTGTCCTTCAAGTTTGAAAGCACAGAGGAGGGATGAGAGGTAACTCGGAGACATGGGAAGATTTGAGTTGGGATTCTCCACACCTTAAGACTCAGCCTATTACTTAACCTCACCACTGCTCACACATCTGGGCCAATGGCCTCAGCACCCCCCACACAGTTACAGCTGCACTGATGTGCGGGAAAAAAATCAACATTGTGGGAGGCCTAGAGTGACAAGTCCCTCTCCGGAGTGCCCAAGAGCTTGGAAGATCCTGGAGGTGTAGAGCTTTGCTCTCCACTGATCTTCCTAATCTCTTAATAGCCCCCGACCTTGTCCACATGGGGTGCACAACATACATGGATAGCTTCATAAGCTCTGGTTGTTTCGTGTGTTTTCCTCTGCAACTAAGCAGAAGTTCCTGGGGTTTGATAAAGGCCAGGTTTTCTTCATACCCCACAGTGCTAGAATGTCAAAATACTTGTCACAGGTAGGGTCTCAGAGTGTTGACTTTTACAAAAATGATTTTCCACAAATAACGAACTCGAGTCAAAACTATTCCATGGTTATTCTTTGCTCTATAGCTTGCATCTGACACCTATCTATCTCTATCTTTGTTGGCTCATGCCCAAAGATGTCTGTTCCTGTATCCATCTCAGACTGGGCCCCTATTCTGTGTTAAGAAATACAAGCTCCACCCACTTGTGGCAATACTGAAAGAGTATGTGGCCGAGGAATCTCTGGGGGGAGAAGGAGGAGTATCTCCCCACACTAGGCTGGCCCACTGATAAGGATCCTTCCCCTCTCTGTCTCCTAACAGATTCAGATTAATGATTGCTCATTCCTAATTGTCAAATTTCTTTTCCTTCATCCTGTGTCTAATCACCAGTGACAGAAACCATTACGCAAATGAGAGCAGACGACTTCCCCCAACTGTTCGCGTTGGTAAAAACCTTGTAATTTAGAGCTCTGATTTGTAGGGGAAGCTGGTCTCCCCCAGGCATTCTGGGCATCTGCTCAACCGATGCCCAGAACGGCCCCTCCTCCATACCCCGAATGCCAACCCCCCAACAAATATCTGACTTCACAAAACAGTAGCTTTCTCTGTACCTGCTGGTGTAAATATGGGAACTTGCAATGCGGCTGACCTCTGTATAGGCCAAACCCCTACCTTCCCTTCGTGTGTCTGCCTCCATGCTGCCAGCTAGGATGGGGTAAGCTACTACAGCAGAAATGTTTCCTCTGCTACAAGCAGAATTTGAGCCTAATCAGCCTCTAACTTAGGTGAGCGAAGGGAAGAGCCTCAATCTCTTCTTTGGGGAAAGAAACAGCAGCAGAACGCGAATCAAGACTCTTAGTGATCACCTAAGAGTTTCAATTCTATAGATGCAGAAGCATGCTTGGAGGAAGTATGGGACAGTAAATGCAATCGGATTTAGAACCCAGTTCCCCCTTAGCTTCTTCCAGCACTTATTATACGGCTTCCCTGGCAGTTTTCCAAAGACGTCTCTAGCTGGAACCCAGAAGAGCTTTCGCCCTGAGCTGCATCTTCTGTGCCCTCTTGGGCTCAGCCTGCCTACAGACATTGTCCAGTGGGGTGAGAACTAAGGATAGGGCCTGTGGTACAAGGGAGGGAGTTAAGGAAGGAGAATCAACATAGTTTGGTAGAAAAGGAGCAGAGGGTTTGCAGCCAAACAGCACTAGGTCAGAATCCTGATTGCCACTCATCACTTAATCTCTCTGAGCCCATTTCTTCATCTGTAAAGTGAGAATACCTACCTTGCAGGATAGTGAGGAACAAAGATAAAAGCACTAGGCACACATTAGGTATCTAAAACTCAGGGGTTGCTATTAACCAAGGATCAGGACCAATCCTGTGAAGGTTCCACGGTCAGCCTTCTCCTTCCCTCCCCTTCAGCCACCTTAGGTCAGACTTGTGTCAGCACAGCACCCAGCAGGGACCAGCTGAGTAGCACACACCTCCCTGCCGCACATCACCCACATCTCTGAAGGCTGAGCCAGGAATACAGCAGACCTGCTGAGGAGAACAATAATAATCTGCTGTATTTCCAAGTGTGATTGTGGCCAAGTTTATCCTCTGTCTGCCTTGTTTTCTTTGCTGCACTCCTCTTTCCCGAAAGAGATGGAGCGATGGAGATCCACTGCAATCACATTTCCCAGCACTGACTATATTGGAAAGAGCTACACTTGAGAAGAGTATCATGTCTTCACACCCACACGGCATCAGAGAACCCCAGCATGGGGTACTAAAAATGAACACCCCTTCCTAAAATACACACAAGGGCATGCACAGGCATACACACACATCCTCTCAGTCCATCAGTGCACTGTAAACTGAGCTTCGGGGGTGAGAGCCATAGCTCAAACACTGGAAGTAAACCTTAGGCAAAAAAAAAAAAAAAAGGTGGAGGAAAAATAAAACCAAAGATCTTCTAACTCCTTTTTCCTTCCAGAGAGAAGGGGATGGATACTGGAGTGGAGATAAGTAGACACAGGGCCACCACACCACCCAATCCCAGGCGCCCTTCTCCCACTGAATAGATGTAAATGACGGCCCTTCAAGTTGTGCAATACACAACTGCCCAGCTGTAAGCTGCAGCCCTGAGAGGGGTTCCCATGAGTAGCTACTAACAGAAGAGGAAATTCTACTTCCATGCTCTACCGGTTGCCCTGACTATTGAGGGTGTTGTGGAATATTATTACAGTAGGGTCTGGCAGAGGCGCTGGCTTTAAATGGCAAGGCTACATTTTTGCCCTTGCCCTGAGGTGGATGACAGGTAGTGAGTTAGCTGCCTAAGCTCGACCCATTTCATCTACTCAGCCAGGAAGCTCAGCAGAAGTAGAGGATGTGGCCTCGGCAGGGAGCATCATAGGGCCCAGAGGCTCTAGCCAGTCAGCCTCAGGCAGGGTGCAGTGAGACCTGACCAACATATGATGGCTAAAATCCAAGTTAAAAAGCTTTATGTTAGGTCAGGCAGTACTTCCTGGGGCTCACACTGTACTGTCCCACTGGACAAGGTAAGCAGTGGGGAACCTTGGTAAGCAGGGAGGCTGGCCAGTGTGGACACACACACACACACACACACACACAGAGGCTTGCATCCCTAGACCCTTGAGAAGCCACAGCTAGAACTCCCTTGGCACCCAGCACCAGGGCAAGAGTTGGTGCTGAAAGAGAAACTGTATGTGTCTTTAATTCAGAATTCATGCACAATCCTTGGTTCATATGTACCAAGGTCCTTTCTATGTATGGCTTGAGCTTATAGATCCCAGCAGGAATCCTATCCAATCCTTTCTCTCACAGGAAGGCTATTTAGGCTCTCAAAGGCAAACCTCCCTCTCATTCTCCCCATTAGAGTCCCAGCAGCCATTCCCACCCAGCCTAGAGCTTGACTATGCAAAAACTGGATGGAGGAAGACTGACCTAATGGTCAGACTAGCTCTGGCCCTGGAGCCCAGATGGAGTGGGGGTCCAAGAGCATCTCCTCTCACTCAGGCTGAGGCACTGACGTTGCAGGAGATAGGGCTGAGAGCCAGAAGTGACACCCTGACCCAGAAGGTGGGACCAAGGAACAGATACATACATGTGTGTGCATGCACACAAGTGCACCCATCCCAAGGTTGACAGACTAACACACAGACATGATGACAACCAAAAGCTGGGACTCCAAACACTGAATGCAGGACTTGGTGGGTGTGGGAGGTGGGCAGAGGGAAGGTGCCGGGGCACAAGAGGCAAGAGTAAGAAACCCCTCCAAATGGGAGTGGAGTGCCAACCGCCCTGCCTCGCCCCAAACACCTGCCTCCAGGGCCATGGCAAGAGTCCAGTCCATTAAGTGCAGCGTGCAATACTAGCGCTTGGAGTCTCCTGTCCTCATCAATGAAGCGGTGTGGACGGGATAGCAGTCACCTGGCAGGAGGCCGTGACTCCTGGCAGGCTAGTTGTATCGGCCCTTGATCATTGTGTTCAACAAGGGCCCCACCTGTAAAGAGACATGAGGAGCCAATCAGAACTGCCTGTTCCCTGGCTCTGGAGTTGGATGGGGTGTGTCTTGAGACACTGGATATCCAGTCAAGCACAGGGACAAATTTTCATTCAATCTTGTGAACTCTCTAATCAACTCTCTTCCTGAAGGTCAACCAGTATTCTGGGGCATGGCCCTCTCCTTTGGGGTCCATCTTGTACTACCTTCCCTCTCACAAAACCCTGTATCTTACTATAAAGCAGCATCAAACTGACAAATAGATGGTCAGAGGAGCTAATAATCCCCAAACACCTCAGAGTGTGTCTGCATGTTTCTCCAATGTGTCTTAAGAATGTTAAATGCCTCTATATCCTCAATAAAAGGTCACCTACAATTGGGGCTGGTGCCATTTCCCAAACCCACAGGTATCTGTGGCTACTGAGGTTACCCACAGGAAGGAGGCAAGAGCATTACAAATACAAATTTACCCAATGGGCCACTGGTGTACCTGAATGGGAAGCTGGTCTCAATATTACCTAGAGTAGCTTTGGCACAGCTGGGAGTGTGCAAGGAGATGCTTTAGTGTTTGCTTCCTTTTCCAGAAGAATCCCCTCATGGGTCCCCAGCTGGCGCACAAGCCCCATGGGGAACATTACTACCAGCATGGAACAGATTATAACTGATCCACCAGTCAAGCCCAGCTTTCACAAGAAAACAAGGATTTTCTGATCAAACCCATAACCTCTATGGGCAGAGAGGACACCAGATACTGAAATAGAGGAGCTATGAAGAATGTCATACCAATCCTGACCTTCCTTGGTCAACCCACCCACTGAGCCACAGGAGTGCCACCGTGAGGCAGCCACATACCTCTTGTGGGTTCCCCAAGGCCTCTCCAAGCATCTTCTCAATGTTTCTCATTATGGCCACTTTCTGATGAGCTTTGAGAGGATATTCAATTCTCTTAGGGGTGGGTGCCCCCTACAAAGGAAGCAGTTGCTCAGGAAATGCCTTTAGTTGCAGGCTTCACTGTCACTCCACTATTCCTAGTACTATTCTCCCCCTTCTAAGAAACCCAATTCAATCCTATCACTCTTCATCTCCCCAGAGACCTGGGAATCACTTCCAGGGATAGCCAACCACCCCATCCCATCTAATAAAAATGTATTACACCTATCTCACCCCAGCCCCAGTTCTGTCTTGAAGAAAAAAAAAAAAATCAACCATATTTACCTTATACCAGAAGTTCACAGTGATGGTAATCCCCCCATTTAGTAACGACTCTATATGATGCCACCTGCAAGAAAACAAACAGGCTCCTGTTTACCACTGATACTTTTCAGAGGGAGGGATGAGCATAGTCCAGTTAAGGGAAACAGTGAAGACAGTATCTGTATGCTCATCCTGTAAAACACACACGGGGTTAGAGGCAGTGGTATTCAGTATCCACATACCAAAGAGTCAAGCCGCAAGCCTCTGGGATCTCTCTGGACTTGAGAAATTGTCATCCTATCCTAGAGATAGGGGTGTCATTTCCCCCACGTTCGGTATGCTCACATCTAGACATGCCAATCTTCCTGTAGACCACATAAGACTAATCCTGCCACAACTCAGAAGGGACACAGATACGGCTTTCCAGGGAATGGGAAAGCAAGCCCCCAAAAGGCCCCCAGCCCTAGCCCCATCCTCACCAGTACATTGGGATGTAAAGAACATCACCAGGGCCAACGACTGTTTCATAACCAACCACGTTTTGGAAATTAGGGAACCTCTCATAGTCAGGATTGTCAAAGTCCACCTAAGAGGTTCAAGAGGAAGAAACAGAAAAATCAGTCAATCACCAAATCTTTACCAGTAACTACTATGTGCTAGTTAGTTTAAAAAAAAAAAAAAAAGTCAAAATTTCTATCTATATCAAGCAGAGGATACAATGCACATTACACTCTTTCTTAGAGAACAATGTAAGACAGTCCATGCTTTAAAGTTAAGTGATAAAGAATCCCAGGCCTCGGTTCTCCTGAGGTCAGAAGACATACTCCACTGCCTGAGGATATGAGGAACTGGGACTTATCCTTCACCCAAACTTTCAGAAACTTTCTCCCAAAACCATATGCTAATCAGCAGACTTCCATATGAAGTAGTCAGGCAGCTTTCTCCTCAAGAAAGGCCACAAAGTCAACCACATACCTCACTTACATCCAGGAAATATATTAAGTAACATATCCCAATTTTATTCACCCTTCTCCTTATCAAAAAGAAATAGTATCCATGACAGAAGCAAGCAATGATTGAATCCAATGAAGACATGTATTTTATTCCATGAACTTTTAAGCCAATCAAACACAGAGTAACCAGAGTCCACCAGCATCAATAATGATGTCTGTCCCAAGAATTAGCTCAACAGGGTTGTTTATACTTACCCACATCTGGGGATCACCACAGGAGCCTGGAATATGTGAGCTACACTGTGAAATTATCCTCTGGGTTTGTCTATATGGCAAGACCAGCCTGTAATCCAAACCTGGCATACCAACATAAGCAAAGAGGAAGGCATTCCTAGAATCTAGAGTTCTATACCCTCCTCAGACCACACAAGCTTACCTGGCTCTGTCTATCACATGGGTGATGGACAGGGTATGGGTAGAGGCACTCAAACTGATCCGGAGGGAATAAGATGCATCGCTTGTGGCCTTTTATCTGAGCAAAGAAATTCTGCTGCTCATCATAGTGAGCAGGTGTCACATTTCCTGTTAAGAAGAAAGACATTTTCTTACCCAGAGTGGTGGCTCTATTGCACAGGCTAGAATATCAGATCCAGTGCTGGAGAGAAATCCGGCCTGTCCTCCCAGCTAAGAGTTCCAAATCAAAATTTTAGACAGAATGAGGGAAATTGCAATCACAACTCTTGGCAAATTAGGTGTTACAGTTTTATGGGTAGTAAGTCTAGCAAACATCACCGGTTAAAGGTCCACCATTAGCTGGCAAAGTAAACTTTCCTAAATGATGGCAGGTGCCCTTATAGGGAGCAAGAACACATCAAAATGATACTCACAAGCCTGGCAAGGCAATATACTGCTTATACTTGTACTCTTCTTGACTATGGCAAGAATTCAAGGGAAGCAAAACAGTTAGAAATGACAGAAATGACTGGTATCAACAACACATGCGTGATCTACTTCCAGGACTTAACCAGTCATCTTAAGTCGTATGATAAGTACTCGCTTTGAGTGTAGTTCTTTTGGAGCTCAAAGATTCTCAACCTTTGTTCCCACTTCAACACAACTGTTAAAATGCAACACTTCTCAGAGAAACACTGGGGCTCACTCGTGCTGGTGATTCTCATCAGAGGGAAACATATCAGATTTCGAAGAGAGGGTTGTATAATGTAAACAAGGCACGTTATTTAAAATGCCACCTTGAAGTAGTTCCGCCCTAGTGTATACATGTTCCATCTACTCCTTTATAACTGGGATCATGTCTGTTGTTTGTTCTTTGTACAGTCCTTGAGTTGAACACACATCTCTGCAGGGCATGAAGTTTAGAAAACATTCCTCAATTCTGCCTGGGTATGCCAAGACAGCTGCCTTCTTAGGTGCTGACAGTCCATGTGCATTCTCAAAGGAGAGCTGCTTTCTCATCGCTACCTAAGGGAACCACTTCCCTGCACCCTACCACAGGAAAGGAAGGCAACAGAAAAACTGAGTCAGGTAAACCAGAACTGGCTTCTTCCTTACAGGTCAATCAAGAGCTGGTTTCAAAGGGACAAGTTAAGTGTCAATACATAACCTGCACTGCTGGAAAGGACAATCAAAGAAGACACCAAAGAGCTCAATAGTGAATGACACATAATTACCTTGCTAAATTGTTCAACCCAGTTTATTCATCATTTACTAAGTACCTACTATGGGCCTGGTACTGAGCTATTGCTAGAAAAAAAGGTGAGACATGACCCTGGTCTATAAGTAGCTCTCCTCCTGACTGAAGTTTAAAGGCTTCTCTTTTTATTCAAAAGAAAAAAACAAAAGAACACATTCACATATTTGCTTGTGTATGCATAAAATTCTCTAGCAAGAAACACAAGCAACTAATAATATGCAATATCTCCAGGGAGAAAACTGGGAGGCTGGGAGATAGCATGGAAAAGAGATTTATCACTACACACCTATTTACACCTTTTGAATCTGAACCCCATGAATGTATTATCTATTTAAAAGATAAAGTTAGGGAAAGGTGGCTCACACTTATAATCCTAGCACTTTGGGAGGCCAAGACAGGAGGATCGCTTGAAATGGAGAGTTTGAGACCAGCCTGGGCAACATAGCAAGAACCTATCTCTACAAACAATTTCAAAAATTAGCTGGGCATGGGGGCACGCACCTGTAATCCTAATTATTCAGGAGCCTGAGGCGGAGGATCATTTAAGCCCAGGAGTTTGAGGTTGCAGTGAGCTATGATCATGCCACTGCACTCCAGCCTGGGTAACAGAGCATGACCCTGTTTCTAAAAATAAATAGGCCAGATGTGGTGGCTCATGCCTGTAATCCTAGCACTAGAGGCGGGAGGATCATTTAAGGTCAAGAGTTCGAGACCAGCCTGAGCAAGAGTGAGACCCCGTCTTTACTAAAAATAGAAAAAAATCAGCCGGGTGTGGTGGCACATGCCTGTAACCTCAGCTACTCAGGAGGCTGAGGCAGGAGGATCACTTGAGCCCAGGAGTTGGAGGCTGCAGTGAGCTCTGATGATGTCACTGCACTCTGGCCCCAGGCAACAGAGTTAGACTCCGTCTCAAAATTTAAGAAATAAATAAATATAAGGTTAAATTTTTATTGGAAAAATAAATTTCCCTTCTTTTACTGGAATAAAAATTTCCTGAACATAGATCCAATAGAGAGCAGCAGTACAGTTATGCACTACGTAACATTTTGGTCAACAATGGACTATATATACAACAGTGGTCCTATAAGATTATAATGCAGCTGCCCTATTCGGGTGTACAATTTTTCACACAAATACTTACTACTGAGTTATAATTGCCTACAGTATTCAGTACAGGAACCTGCTGTATAGGTTTATGGTCTAAGAGCAATATGCTACACCATATAGCCTAGATGTATAGTAAGCTACATCATCCAGGGCTTGTGTAAGTAAAATCTACGACGTTCAAAAACAACAAAATTGCTTAACAACACATTTTGCAGAACATAACCCTGTCCATTAAGCAATGTATGACTGTATTTCAGAGAGGTCCCTAATATCTCAGCATATGCACTTACACAGCAGCTGAGGAAGGGAAAAGGGAATTTCTTACAGCGCATGAAACTAGCTTAAAGAATTAATGTATACATTATCTCGTTTAATCTTCATAAATATTCATGATATTATCATGTTTCTTCTATAGATGAGTAGGCTGAGGTTTAAGAAACTTAAGTGACTTGTTCAACGCCATGGAGCTAATAAGTAGTAGAGAAAGGATTAGAAATCAGGTTCATATGACTCCAAGCCATGCTGTTTTCTGAATGATTTCTTACCTTCCATGCCAATGAGCAGCAGGTTAGAGGTCAGCTGCCCCCAGCCACGCTTTCCTTGTTGTTTATTAATCCAGTTCCAGTTAAAACCCAAGAAGTCCATGACAATCTTCCTGCCCACGGTATCATTGAGTGTTTGCTGCAGATATAACCTATGTACCCCCAGAAGAAAATCCCATTAGTGCACGCACACACGTCCCTGGTATGGCCTCCCCACACCTGGAAATACAAACCAAAATCCACACCAGCATCTCCCACAGAGCACAGCTGTAGTCACGCAAATCTTAGCCAACACAAATTCTCATAGAACTGAATTCTTACCTATCCTTCTTTGAGCTCTGTTCAATGCCAAACTTTTTACTTTAAAGCAGTGATTCTTAACCCTATATGGGTCAAAGTATGACTCCTTTAAAAATCTAAGGAAAGTTTCCTGTAAAAATGCACAGATACACAGAACTTTCATATAATTTCAGATTCCTGGAAACCTATCCATAGACCTTAGAATGATGAATCAGCCTTGCTCCAGAGACTCACTGCCTGAGACATCTCCTTTGGCCCTTCATGGCCACTGTGGTAGACTGTATTACTATTCACCAAGAGCTGGTTCCTTCCCTGTGGAAGAGCTATTCCTCCATGCCCCCTTGAAGCTAGGTTTGCTTATTTAACTTGTTCTGGCCAATAAAATGTCCACATAGTGACTTGTATTGCTTCCAACTTTAATTTTTTTTTTTTAAATGAATCTAACATTATGAACATAACCAACTGTAAATTTAAGAACCGGTCCACACTACCACATCTCTTTCCCTTTGCCATGGCAAATGCAAAGTTCCAGATAGTAATGCTAGGGGCAATCTAGGGGCAATCTAGGTCCCAGAGAGAACAAGATGATGTAAGAACAAAATGATGTGACCCATGACGGACATGAAGCATGTGTGGGAAATAAGTCTTTGCTGTTTCAAGCCCCTGAGCTCTGGCTTGAAGCCTCGTTTATCTTAACTGATTCAGCCACCTGTCCTGCTGCAGCCTTCTACAGCTGAAGAAAGACATCTCATCAGGTACAGGCCATAGGCTCCTAACATACCTGAGAAAGGTCAGAAGTTACTTACGGGGTGTGAAAACCCAGACACCCTTGATCAAGGCCCACAAGAGAAATTTAGGAGTGTGCAAACCTGAAGAAAAGAGACAGAAGCAGCTCTGTGCTGGTCCTTAGAGCATTACTTCAAAAGGCTCAAAGGCATCTCACTGCCTAGAACCATAATATTTAAGGCAACATTAATTAGAAATATTGATAGGCTGGAAACGCTAGCTGTCATTTTGGAGACATGGAACCCTCAAGATTCAAATGCAACTCCTCAGAAATTATAACATATGTATTCACACAAAAATTTTGCAAGTAACTTTGAAGAAGCTGGTAACAATCCCCAAACATGAATCTAAACAGCATTACTATTATACCTGAACAGTAAATGCTCAAAATAGCTCAGAGAGGATCCTGATATATTTTAACTCATAATTACAACAGCCTATACAATCATATAGTGGAGGTGGCTGGTACTAACCTCAGTTGATAGGGCAAAACATGTACACAGTATACAATTTTCCTTGAAAACTCTTTAGTCACCAATAAAGCACAGATTACACTCATACCCAGTGAGGCAAAATGCTTTCACTGTGGGAGGCGAGAAACTTCAAGTGACTGAAGAACTAGAAGATTCATGTGTCTTATCTCATGCTCATTCTATGGCATATATTCATTCAATGGAATTACACACTTCGTCAGTTTAAACTAATTTCTCTTTCAATGTTGGGTGAGTGTGTATGGGAGTGTGCACATGCATGCTGTGTTAAATTTGAATAAATTAATGCATGAAATGACTAAACTGAACCAGTATTTATAAGACATAATGGACAAATCACAGTTCATACTTTGAAAACTCTTCTAGTCAAATTCCCAACATTATGACAATGGCTAAGTGTCAAGAAGATATTTCAAATCCATTCACCTAGTCACATGCTACTGACAGCCTGAAGTACTCAGTGAAAGCAATTCCCCAGAGGCAATATTATAGCATGGGACTGAATACTGTCTGAGACCTACATAAGAAGCTGTCGTCCTAAGTAGGAATAAAAGCAGAGAAGAAGAATCACTCTCCTATGTGTATCTCGTGTTTGCTATCGTGATAACAAAAACAAACCTAATTTATTCTTCCCTAAACTATCTCCTTTTCTCTAAAATCACAACAAACTATACAACTTTTCAGTGAAGTACTTTAGGACAAAGGCTGCAAACTGGCAATCTCACAACTAAATCCAATGACAGACATTTTTATTTGGCTTCCTGCAACTTTTTTTAAAAATTTTGAATTAGTTCATCACATTTAAAAGTCAAAAGATTTCTTAAAAAAATGAAAGTCGAAAGATTTTAAATAAAAATTCTGATTTTGAGGCCAGGTGCAGGGGCTCACATCTGTAATCTTTGTGCTTTGGGAGGCTAAGACAGGAGGATCGCTTGAGCCCAACAATTTGAGACCAGCCTGAGCAACATATTATAGCAAGATCACATCTCTACAAAAACCAGAAAAATTAGCCAGATGTGGTCGCATGCACCTGGAGTCCCAGCTACTCAGGAGGCTGAGCCAGGAGGATCACTTGAGCCCAGGAGTTTGAGATTACGGTGAACTATGATGACACCACTGCACTGTAGCCTGGGTGACAGAGAGAGACCCTGTCTCAAAAAAAAAAAAATTCCTGATTTGAAGTTTCTCTTTAAAAATCAGAATATCTGGCAATGCTAGGACTGCACTCCCGAATGGAAACAGAGTTAAGTAATGACTTCTTACTTTGACCAGGGCATATGTCTTCAGTTTCATCATAACTTCCAACAAGATAACTTCACTCATTTCATTCACCTACCTGACCATTCTAGGTAATTGTGACTCTCACTTTATGAGGAAAAAGATGAGAAACTAGAGATTCACAGTTCAAATCTAATTATCCCTTCATCCCTCAAGCTAGACAACTAGCTGGCTGTAGCCCTGAAAATCCCTAAGAATAACTCAAACAGGCTGGAAGAGCAAACTATTCACTCAATAGGAATCCAGAGATGAGAGATAACAATCTCTAATCACCCAATTCCACCACACCTTCAAACAAGTACAGGAAAAGAAAATGGATGCCCCAAATCCAACAGAAAACCAAGATTTAGGAACTTACCTCTCTTCCCCTCCTCGCTGCTGTATATCCTGTAATTTCTGAACAAACTCATGAAATTTCATTTCCTCCCTATTGGACCTCGGCTTAAAGTTCTGGAAATTAGCCATCTTCTTCTCATCATAGTACAAGAACTTATGGGTGCTAGCACTGTACACAGAGAAGTCTCCATTACCAATATTCTCTTGCAGGTATTCAAGGTCCCATTTCAGGGCAGGATACACAAGATTTGTGTCGGTCAGCACCACGGGTTCCTAAGCGAAAACACCAGGTGGAGGAAAAAAATGAAGTAATCCCAAGGAGCTGGTGGGTTCCTCCGCCCATGATCCCATCTACTTTCCAAATCGAGATTAATTTCTCCCATTAGCCACAACGAACCCCTCAAGTTCCATTTTTCTTCGCCTCCCTCACCATCTCTCCTTACGCTCCAGTCCACACCCCGGCCAGTCCCTCACCTCTTCCACCATTCGCCTCTGACCTCTCCTCCCAGCTAGGGAGGAGACCTTCCTCCTCTCCCTACAGACGCGGCCCCGCCCCCCCACCTCATTTTCGATCAGCTCCTCCGCCCGGGGATCGCTCTGACTCAAACGCGGGATGGGCCTGGTGGGAAAGCTGTAACTACGCAATTGGGATTCATCCCAGGCGGGGCCGGGAGCTTCAGCCTCTTCCCGGGGGCCTCCAGAGCCCGAGGCCACAGGCTCGGCCGCTGTCGCCGCCATCTCGGCCGCCAGGGACCGCCCCCGCCGGAACCGGAAACTCCGCCTATTCCGGACGAAACCACAACGGAAACCATAGAGGTGAGCTGTGGGAGAGAGCGGTCACGAGACATTAAGAACGCGGAGCCGAGGCTTGAGGGAGCGCCTACCAATGGTGTCGTACAGCTCTACACCCCAGGCTCCATCTCCGAAGAACTGGAGCTAGACTTAGTCCCACTGGAGAGGCGTGGATCACCTGACAAACCAATCCGCATAATATTGCTGCCTCAAAATATTGTGCCCAAGCCTACCCAAGGGGCAAAGTAGGAGGCAAGTTTAGTTTGGCATTAAACTTCACACTCATGAATGGGGAGAGAAGCAAACTCTTGACCCACCTAAGGAATTCAGAAGGAAAAGCAATTGTCACATTGGTAGATGTTGGGCAAAGGCTGCCTGAAGGCCCAGGCAAAAGATATATGGCAAGTGGAATTCTTTTAAAATCAAGGGTGGTTTTCTTTTGTTTAGCATTATTTGATTTCCCTGCCTATATCACCATCTCTCCTACTTGAATATTTTCTTGCCATGAGAACAACGTTATTAGTGGCCAACAATGAACATCCCACATTTTCAAATAATCTATATTGATTGTATAAGGCCGTATCAATTACCTCTATTACTTACTTAGGGAGTTTTTATGCCTGGCTGTGGGAGGTGGAATTCTAAGATGGATCCCAAGATTTACACCCCATGATGCACACACCATGTGTAAGTCTCTCCCCGTAAATGAGATCAGGACTGTGAATATGATAGGGTATCACTCCTGTAATTAGGTCACTTTGTAGGGCAAAGATGTAATTGAGATCCCTGATCAGTTAACTTTGAGTTAAACAAAAGGGAGATTAGAAACAGAAGTCTGAGAGATTGAAGCCACAGCACATGCTGTCCTGTTTGCTTTGAGGAAGCATACTGGCATGTGGCATGGAATGGCAAGTGGACTCTAGGAGATGAGAAAAATTCCTGGTTAACAGCCAGCAAGAAAGTGGACACCTTTGTCCTACAAATGCAAGTAACTGAATTATGCCAACAACCACTGAGCTTGGAAAAGAACAAAGAGCCTCAGATGAGATAATGATCCCAGACAACCCCTTGATTTCAGCCTGGTGAAACCCTGACCTGAGGACCTAGCTAACTGGTACCTGGACTCATGGAATATGTGCAATAATAAATTGGTGTTGTTTTGGGCTGCTAAATTTATGGTAATTTATGCAGGTAATTATGCAGCAATAGAAACTAACTATGTTTAACTATGTAATTATGCTACAAAGTAACTATGCTACACCAAACTGAGAAGAGGGTTACCTCTGCAGAAGAGCTTAAGGCTGGGGGTGGAAATCAAGGCTTTAGTTTTATATGCAATGTTTGAATTTTTACAAAAATATATTAATTTATAACTTTTATTAAAAATAAATCAGATCAAGAAGATTCCAATAACTAAAATCAGGAATGAAACAGGGACATTACTACTGACTTTACAAAAAGAAGAAGGTATATAAGGGAATATTATGATGAACAATTATATGCTAAAAAATTTAAAAGCCTATATGAAATGGACAAATTCCTAGAAAGACACAAATTATAATAACTGATTCAAAAAGAAATAGAAAATCTGAATAGACCCATTACAAGGGATTGAATTAGAAATTTTAAAAAAATCCCACAAAGAAAATCCCAATACCAAACAGAATCACTGATGAATCCTATCACATATTCAAAAAAGAATCAACACCAATCCTTCAATAAACTTCCAAACAATAGAAGAGGAGGGAACACTTCCCAATTCATTCTGTGAGGCCAACATTACCCTGATATGAAAACAAGACAAAGAAATCACAATAAAACCATAGACTCATTTAGGAATATATATGCAAAAATTCTCAATAAAATACTAGTAAACCGAATCTAGCACCATATAAAAAGGATTATATACCACGACCAAGTAGGATTGATTTCAGGAATGCAAGGTTAGTTCAACATCTGAAAATCAATCAATATGATATACTATATTAGTAAAAGAAAAAAAGTGATAATCTCAATAGACACAGAAAAAGCTTTTGACAAACTCTAAAACCTTTTCATAATAAAAACAGGGTTCCAAAGGACACCATCTAGAAAGTAAAAAGACAACTCACAGAATGGGAGAAAATATCTACAAATCATATATCTAACAAGGGAATTGTATCTAGAATACATAAAGAATGCTTACAACTCAGCAATAAAAAGACAACCCTATTTAAAAATGGACAAAGATGGGGGGGAGAGGGGGGCAAGGGCAACATACATAACCTAAACATCTGTACCCCCATAATATCCTGAAATAAAAAAAAAATGGACAAAGATGTGAATAGACATTTCCCCAAAGAAGATATACCATGACAAATAAGCACATGAAAAGGTGCTCAACATCATTAGTCATCACACTAATGCAAATGAAAACCATAATGAGATACTATTCACACCAACAAGCATGGCTATAATCAAAAAGACAGACAATAACAAGTGTTGATGAGGATGTAGAGAAATTCAGAACCACAGACACTGCTAGTGGATGTAAAATGGTGCAGCTGTTGTGAAAAACAATTCCGCAGTTCTTCAGAAAGTTAAACGTAGAGTTGCCCTATGACCTGGCAATCCTACTCTTAGGTATCTAACTAAAAATAGAAAACATACATCCACACAAACACTTATGCAATGTTCATAGCAGCATTATTCATAAATGCCAAAAAGTTGAAACAACCCAAATGTTCATTAACTGATAAATAAAATATTGAACTGCGTATCCATATAACGAAATATTATTCAATCATAAAAGGAATGAAGTACCTATTAGATACATTTATCTAATGTACAACCCAAACCTAAGATAATCAGATGTATAGGTAGGCTTGGATTTCTGATATGAGAAGTTGAGGACTAGGGGTCAGAACTCTTATGATTCCATTACTAAATCTCACTTGGATGCTTGACTATGTGTTTGTTATATAGCCTGTGCTACAACACAGACAAACCTTGAAAACATTATGCTAAGTGAAAGAATACAGACACAAAAGGTTACATATTGTATGATTCCATTTATATAAAATATCCAGAATAGGCAAATCCATATGGACAGAAAGTAGATTAGTGGTTGCTAGGGGGTAGAAGTAGGGGGAATACGCTAATGGGTATGAGGTTTCTTTTGGTGGTGATAAAAATGTTTTAGAGTTAAATAGTGGTGATGGTTGCACAACTTTGTAAATGTACTAAAAATCACTTTATTGTGCACTTTAAAAGAGTGAATTTTATGGTATGTGAATAATATCTTAATAAAAATAAATTAATTAAACAACCGTTTTTTGACCTAAATTAGATCAGGGCTTGCTATTGGTTGAATGTAGATGCTGTTCAATCATTTTGACTATCAACCAGTGGTGTTCATTTACAAGAGGGCAAGTTGCTGTGTAGTCCTCCCCAAAATTTGTATACTAAATAGAATATATCCATTTTTATTGGTGTGATACACATTTGAGAATATCTATAATAATACATTCTGCTCTAAAACAGTGATCACCAAAAAGTCACTGGAAATATATACATTTATAATGTGTAAGTTATTAAAATCCCAAGTGAAAGCATATTTATATGCAAATATAATAATATCTCCCATTCCTCTGTTGAGTTAAAGTTTGTTACTTGTGGGCCGGTTGGAATCTATTTACCCAAGTGCTAGCAAATCTGAGGCTTTAGAGTGTCTCCAGAGAGCTGCCTCAGGTAGCTCTGTATGTTTACATACAGATGTAAACACGGACTGAGACTGAGAAGCCAATTTGTGATCAATCTGTGTGTTGCACTGAGCATCTAAGAGTAGGAGATCAACCAGTTTGGAGATCAGAACAAGGACAAGCAAGACCAAGGGCTGAATTGAAGAATGATCACGTTTGGGGATGGAAGGAAAAGGAAACGACAAGCAGCCAGAAAAGAAGAGAATAAGACAGGCTCATTTTACTAGCACTGCTCCTGGGGAGGTGAGTTGGCTATCTACCTGAGATGCTCAGGTTCTGAGTGCCTTTTAGCCCTGGATGGGTCTAAGTCGGCTGAGGGAGAAAAGGGATGAAACAATCTGAAATGTCAAAGAAGCAATCTGCGTGGTTTTCTCTCCTTCCCGCTAACACTCCCAGACTCTGTCCAACCACTCATCTTCCTTGTGGCTTCCCAGCACCGTTTTTATTTATTTATTTATTTTGAGACAGAATCTCACTGCGTTGCCCAGGCTAGAGTGCCGTGGCGTCATCCTAGCTCACAGCAACCTCAAACTCCTGGGCTCAAGTGATCCTCCTGCCTCAGCCTCCCAGGTAACTGGGACTACAGGCACGTGCCACCATGCCCGGCTAATTTTTTCTATTTTTAGTTGTTTGACCAATTTCTTCCTATTTTTAGTAGAGACGGGGGTCTTGCGGGGGTCTTGCTCTTGCTCAGGCTGGTCTTGAACTCCTGAGCTCAAGAACGATCCGCCCTCTTGGCCTCCCAGAGTGCTAGGATTACAGGCGTGAGCCACCGCGCCGAGCCCCCAGGACCATTTTTTTTTTTTTATTTCAGGGTATTATGAGGGTACACACATTATGGTTACACTTTATGTCTTTGCCTCACCCAAGCGTGGGTTAAAGGCATGCCCTTCCCCCCTACAAAGCTCCCTGTGTCCTTTAGTTGCGGATTTACCCCCCACAAATCCCCCTAATCCCTGGACAGTATTGCTGCCATGTGATCACCCTAGTGATGATCAGTTAGTACCAATCTGATGGCGAGTACAAGTGGAGCCCATTCTTCTGCTCTTGTGGTGCCTCACTTTGGATAATGGGCTTACGTTTAATCCAGGAAAGTTTAAGAGGTTCTAGATCACTGTCGTTTCTTATGATTGAGTAATATTCCATTGTATACACATACCAAATTTTAATAATCCACTCACGGATTGACGGGCACTTGGGTTGTTTCCACGTCCTTGCAATAGTGAACTGTGCTGCCAAAAATATTCGGATGCA